TCGTGCCAACAGGTGCTACTTCGGACTCAGTAGGCAATTGAGAAGCAAAGTCCTCTTTCGACAAACGAGAACCAAACTCTATAAGCCACTCATAATTCCCGTCCTGCTATATGGTGCAGAAGCTTGGACGATGACAACAACTGATGAGTCGACGTTGCGAGTTTTCGAGAGAAAAGTTCTGCGAAGGATTTATGGTCCTTTACGCGTTGGCCACGGCAAATATCGCATTCAATGGAACAATGCGCTGTATAGGATATATGACGACATTGAAATAGTTCGGCGAATTAAAAGACATCGGCTACGCTGGCTAGGTCATGTTGTCCGAATGTACGAAAACACTCCAGCTCTGAAAGTATTCGAGCTATACCCGCAGGGGGAAGCAGAGAAAGAGGAAGACCTTCACTCCGTTGGAAGGAAAAAGTGAAGAAGTACCTGGCTACGCTTGGAATATCCAATTGGCGCCACGTAGCGAAAGGAAGAAACGACTGGCGCGCTGTTGTTAACTCGGCTATAATGGCGTAATAATTGTCTACGCCAATTAATTAGAAGAGGAAACAGAAACACATATTTAAGTAAACTAATTGCTAAAATTTATTATTACCATGTACAAGATGTGTTCTAAAGTAAACAGGACTTTTTGATCCCCCTGGTAGCGCCATCTATATGCCGACCGATTCGTTACAATTTTCTATCGTTATTAATTATCCAGTGCGAATTTCATGACATTTCATCGATTGGAAGTGAAGTTATTGCGTTTTAAGTGTCAGTATGTTTGTGTTATCGGTGCGAAATTTCGGTGTTTTAAAATTTGTAAAACTTTTACCGAAACGTTTCAATTGATGAAACAAGCTTATTGTGATGATTGCCTATCCCGTAGCAGAGTGCACAAGTGGTTTCAACGTAATTTATCTATATTATTCTTCAGCCCACGTTCCTGGATACATGTAATCCTGTCAGAAGATGCTATGAACATACCTGAGTACGCTACACTGCTCCAGAACGCACTTTATTGGTGACTATTTATTTGACCAATAGTCAGTCGGTGACTTTGGAAAAACGTGATTTTCGTCGCAGATTTCCTGGCAGTCCGACGCCTACTGGTGACACAYAGCGACGTTTAGCGGTTCGCCTCGAAGAAACTGGCACAACAAGAGATGCTGCCAGGCGTGGTAGACCCCGGAGTAGCCGTTCTGCAGAAAATATTGCTGCTGTTGCCTAGGATGTCATGGAAGCTCCGTCGACATCGACCAGATGATGCGCCATGTTTTCGTACAAAGTCCAGACGGAGCATCCGCTGTTAGCTGCTGACCGCCAATCGCGTCTAACATACGCTCAAGCCATTCATTATCACCACCAAGGGGAAGATTCTTTTTTATCGAAAATAATCATGAGTGATGATAAAAAAGTAAAATTTACGCTTCTGGGGCACTGAAAATCCGCGTGTAACCCACAACGTCACTGTATGGCGTACTGTTTTCGCTGGAGGAGCCATCGGACCTTTTTTCTTCGAAGACGTCGCGGGCCAAACGGTTACTGTGAGTGGTGAGCGCTGCAGAGCGAGTATCAACGAGTTATGTTTGCCGCAACTTGATGAATTGGGATTGGAAAACATATGGTTCTAACTGGATGGTTTAACRGCACACACTGCACGGGCCGCAACCGATATGCTGAAGGATGTATTTCCCTGACGCCTAATCTACCGTTATGGTGATTTGCGCTAGGTAGCAAGATCGCCTGATTTGACCGCTCCAGACATCTTTTTGTGGGGTTATGTCAACAAGCCTCCGACTCTTGCAGCTCTTAAAGACAATACAAGCATGCAAGGACCTATCCGATCTGCGGAATATCAACTGAGGGAAGAACTCACGTACAATTGGTTTGTAATGAAACAACACTACCAATTTTATCGGAAATCTTAAAGATAATGCCAAGATACTCTGTGCGGCAATTTATAGATCAAACGTTGAATTTATGGCTATTAACCGTTAGCTTAACAATTTTCGTTCACGATATGGTATACAATTTCTGAACGTATTTCTCAAGAAACTAGCAAATTATTTGTATTCTGTGCAACCGTTTTTGAAAAACTATTCACGAAATATCACGCCTTATATTTTCGCAAGTTTATAATGCTTTTGAATTTTTATTATTATATGTATGTACATATGTATATATATTACAGTAGAAACTCGTTTATCGGGTCCCTCAGTTATACGGATTCGCGATTATGTGGATTRCCAACCGCGAATAATTTACATGTACCTACACGTCGAAATATGGAATCATGAACGTGGCGGAACTTGCATATTCCGCCCGAGTTACATATATAAATAACCCAGCAACAAACAGTAAAACTGATAAAATAGAACACCAGGAAATCAGTAAAATTCTAGTCTGATACCATTTCCTTTGCTATTGCCAAAATCAGCTTAAAAGATACAAAACAAAATCACTTTGTAACAATATATCCGAGAATCTGTATAACCTATTAAGGTTATTACCTTAATCAGCATTTAAATAAATATGATGTATAAGCAAACACTTACTTTCTTGCAAAACATATGTAATAAGTATAATAAGTATTTATGATTTGTAAGCAATAATTCATTGCAATAGTAACTCTAATGATTATAATTAATAAAGTGAAAGTTTAGTCTGATTCCAATATCCAAACCACCTGATTTAATTCTTCTTTAGGGTTAACTCGGTACTAACTTTTTAAAAACGTTCGAACGCGACCGTGATATAAAATTGGTGCAGTCGGTAGGATCCTTAGAAAGTATTAAGGATTCAGTGAAACGAAACGCGTTCGAAAAACAATAAAATTTTAGTTTCCTCCGGAAATCGTTATATCAAATATTTTTTTATATATCCCAAACGATTCTGTAGTCAACTCAGCAGTTGACCAAACCCTCCAGAATATAATTAACTATACAAAACAATCCGGATACACACGATAATCGACACCTCCGAGGGTGCAGTGCACATTAATTGTGAAACAAAAAAACACAAATATAGCAAAAGTTCAGAAGTGAAAACGACCTAAAAAATTAAAAGGCGTTAGTTCACCAAAACAAATATTGCAAAAAAAAAAAAAACAGTGAACACGTCTCAAAACAGAAAGAGCGTGAATTCACCAAAAAGTTAAAGTTTAAAAAGTGAGGTAGCCAAACCCATAAAAGAAAACAAAATTAAATCGTCAAGGCACCGAGGCTTCGATAATAGGAGAGAAATGGAGAAGGAACAGACAGCCCTGGCGACAGTCAACTTAGTAGAAGAGCTTACTCGCAGGAAGCAACAGTTGGAGGAAATGCGGCACGCTTACCTCGAACTAAGAAACCGGACAGAAAGAAGCAACAGCAGCAGGTATGCGCTCATAAAAACAGTTAATACTAGTTAGATATTTACTGGGACAGGCGATATTACAATAAACTCGTTCTTCAGCAGCATCGACTATCTACTATCCACAACGAGCGACATAGAGCTACAGAAGGAAGTGACGCCATCAATCTACTACAAGACATACCAGGGAGAGGCGAAAAATACAATCATCAATATACCTCAACCAGACAACTGGCAGCTGATAAAGGRAACGCTAAAATTGAGGTATCGACCAGAAGTAGAGCCGCATCATCTGTATAAGAAGATTGGTAATCTTAAGGTAAGTTCCGTAAATGAACTTATGAGAGAAATGAAGGATATTAAATATAAGTCAGACGAACCGACAGTGTACTATAGGGGTGACAGTTACATTGACTTGAGTAACATGGACAGCTTGTTAGTAAATACCATAAAGGAGATGCCTCCAGGAGTCCTACTAGATAAAATTTATAAAGAAGGGAACCTTAATGAAATAAAAAGAATAATGGCAAGTAGAAAGATTTGAAGATTGTAATATTAGGACAGAATACATGAAATTTAAAATAAAGGAAGATTTTTTTTTTTTTTGTTTTGTAGGCCGTAAGGAGGGTTTAAAATGCCTTCACACCATATAGGGATCGTCATCCTACGTGAATGGTGTACCCACTAAAACACTCCCCCCTTCTAGCATGGAATTTTTCCCTACCCCGGGACCGCTTTCGCATTACTTCAGGGCAAGGTTTCCAAGATGGACCCATTACAG